TTTGGGATCATCTGTGCTCAATACACCTTCATGATCATTTGGATCATTGACATTAGAAGCAGTAGTATTGGTTGTTTGATAAAAATTATCTAATTTTAAAAGAAAAATAATAAATAAAATAAGCAAAATAGGTAATTTATACGCCTAACAATATATTTTAGTATATTACAGTATATTGCAGTATAGATGAAACAATTAATAAAATGTACTAACTAATTGATAATACTGTATTAACTAAATTTATAATTGATATCATCTATATTGCAAAAGATCCGAATAATTTCAATTTAAAAGCTCACCTCCAAGATTTATAACAAATGTTGTTTCATTTGCCTCAGCCCAAGTTTTCATAGCAGCGGCAACTTGAGGCTGACCGGTGCCAGGACCCCATTGACCCCAATCACCAATGCAAAGAAATTTAAGAACACCGTCATATTGTTCATCGAATGGAGTAGGATATGGATCACTAACAAAACCACTTGGTCTTGTATAATGGACTGTACCTCTTGGGTCACTTGAGACCAGAATGCATAATTGAATAAAGGATAGGAAAAGTAATAAGGATTTCATTTTGGATAAATCCTCAAAAGGTGGGGTTTGTTTTTTTTTTTTTTTTTTTTGCAATTTTGATGGCTGTATATAAGTATAAAACTGAATGATATCGATAATTATTGTATGTTATGATTGTAAGCTTGTATAACAATAAATACATCTGGATACGTCAAAAACTCCGCATAGTTAAAACAAGAATAAAATACATTTAAAGCAATACAATGAAAAGATGTCGTATTCCAAATAGTTAATTAAAATGGGCTATACAAGTACGCCTTCAGTTAAAAATTATACATATCAGGTAATTTTATGCAATGCAAATGTACCTAAATATAGAATTAAGTAGAATACATTTACTATCTAACGCTAAGAATCGTTAATTAAAAATTTCAGTATCGAGATTAAAAATTGTAAAACGCCGAAATAAGTGACATTAAGAAATAAATAATTTATTTATCTCCCCATATTAGAACCAAATCAAAAATTACAATCCTGGTGCCAGGTGCGTTATTATTTTACTTCAAACTAGGCTGTATGTTAATAACACAAAAATAAATATAATAGAGTGCGTAACGCTTAACAAAAATTGGGCCAATCATAATTTGCTCTGATTACACTGATTACGTAACTGTAACTGACAAAATAATTTTTTCCGTTTTTGGCGAGCAGATAAATCGTGTAATAGCCACTGCACAGTTACAGGCCTTGGCAAAACATTACAAAAATGGATAGTCTGCGTATGTCACGTGACTTTAAACCAATAAAAACATCAATCTATTTTACAGTTCACGTTATTACTTTTCTAGAAAACTTTTCCAGAAAAAAATAAAAACTAATTGTCGATGGAGCCGATTAGCACATTTTTAATAAATAATTTAATGGCATTTTTTTAGTAACGATAATAAAAGATTCCGAACAAATATTTAATCAAATAGAATTATTTAACATGATACAAGAGTAGCATTGGTAATAACTTTTGTGTATTTAAACCAAATTGTTTAATTGACTTATTAGACCAAGAGAATTGGAATAAAAAATTAACATTATTAAACTTAAACGCCAATTGATAAAAAATCATAATTATAATAGTTAGGCGAGACCAAC